ATTGAGGAAGCTTTTGTAAGCCCATCGAAAATTATACCAAATAAATAGTAAGTTCTTCAAATTCAAGGTGCCGAACACTGTGAAAATGTAAGTAGTCCATGATTTATTTTTCCTATCTTTGTTTTGTACTATCCCACAATGTGTAAGAAACATAAAATATTATGATTTAGGAAAAGGAAAGTGTCTGATTAAATTGATGAGCACTTAATCCATAAATGTCAGTCTTTGGAAAGGTTTCTCATAGGTTCACATAAATGGACGTCTATGTCCCAGAAGGCAGTGCTTCTTTGCACATGTTTCAGATAAACTTAAATTTTCCCAAAAGTAACATTGAAGCCAAAAGAATGTGGAAAATAGTTGTTGTAGTAGTAGCACTGCTGGGGAAAGCTGTCTGCGTGGAGTCACTTTGGTGTAGGAAATCTCAAAAGAGACCTAAACTCAACTGATTTGTGTGCTGCCACTTTTGCTGACCCCAGGTGCTAGTTTTTGAAGCTGTAATTCTCGACGAAACTTAGCTGTGCTCTTAATTTAAGACTCGTTTTTCTTGACAGTAGATACAATGACTTTCCTCATCAATATAAACTTCTGATGGATTTTACTCAATCTGAAACATTTGCCACCTGTTGCACAGTCATTTGGTATTTAAAAGATGTGGCTCCTGCAATTTATTTACAATGCATCTTTAAACAACGCATGAGCTAACATGTTATTATGTTTTCAGATTAAGCATTGAATCAAAGTAAAACTTTTTTTTATTTTACCAAACAGCTTAAAAGCCCATATCAAACTTTTAAGAGCCCCCCAAAAATGGTCACTGGCAAAACATTCAACTTCATTAAATAAAATGTTTACAATTTATATGTTGCTTGGAAAAAATCTGGTTAATTTCCAAAGGCCGCAGCTGAGAAAGTTGATGTTTGCCACCATAATGTAGTGTAGTTACGGCATTTGCCAGCAGGGGCTATCTTAACCATGCATAACCAGCCAAATCTTGAACCCTTGTTTAAAGCCACATGTTTTTTGGTTTGGTCTCTACTGGATCAAATTCTGGTCCAACACAATCTTTTTGCTCATCTTCCTGCCCAACTGATTGCCCACTTAACTTCCTCCACCCTTGGCAGTGTCCACAGTTGGCGAGCTCCATCTCAGTCCTCTGAGTGGAACACCAGCTCTTCAAGGGTGTTTTGTAGATGGCCAGAGGACACCTGTGCTGACTGTTTATTTTCTTGCACAAACACCCAAGCAATGTGTTTATGATTGGAAAAGCCAAGCACATGAGTAAACATTTGCTTAAATCCCTTCTCCCCTTCAACCTCTGTATAAACAACCTTATTTTGTCCTTTCCTCCTTTTTTTCTTTTTTTTTGGGAATTTTTGACACATTCTTTTCTTCTCACGGCCACATAACTCGACACAATCCTATTTCTGTATTTCCCAAAAAGTCGTGTCATAGTTCCACCACCTGCTTTGAATTTGCTGTCCCACAGTAACAAGTCTTGATTACTTTCTTTTCTTTCTCTCAGTTTCTTCTTTTGAATATATATCAAACTATTTTAAAATTCTCAAAGTAAATCCAGATTTAAATGTCCAGCTGCCAAAATGAGCTACCCGTCATTCGGTATGGTTAAGTTGTACATTTTTGTTCCCCGTGCCAGGACATCTGTCTTCTGACACACCCTGTCATTAAAAGAAAAAGGAAACAGCATCTTTTGATTATTTTCATTCGTATTGGATACATTTGAATAGAAATAGAGTCTGTCAAAGACATTAAAAAAGATGTTAAACATCATGACCGCTAAGTTCAAATAATTTGTTGTAGCCACACTGTGTTGTCCTGTATTGAGATTTTTAAAATAATTTTAAATACTGATTTTTATATAGAGAGAGTTTTAAAATGGTCAGAAAATCTTAAAACCTCTAAACACTAAACAACTAAACATTATACGTTTTTACTTCATTAACTTGTCCTCTACAGTCCAAAGTCTCATGCAAATGTAAAATTTTACATTTACAGAATTACAGGCTTCACTCCATGCAGGTTTGAAAATTTGCAGACACTTCATATTTAAAACATTTTAGGGGTTCCCAACATGGGATAATTTTATGTATAGTTTTAATTCTTTCTTTTTTTTTTTTTTTTTTTTTATAAATTGTATTATTTAAAAAGTTTCCAAACATACTTTATCAGAAATAATTGAAATAGCCCATTAAACGTGAAAGTATTTTGCAATCATTTAAGACATTTCTCTGCATATAGAACGTTTAGGGAAAGTAATATATATACATATATGTATATATTCAATTTACTGTTCATATATTATGTGATTTTTTTTTTTCTCAGATTTTATTTGTGCATTTTTGCCCTAGGATAATGGCAGGTGGGTTATGTAAATACAGAGGTGAGGAATATCTATGTTGAAAAGAAAAAAAATGTGCATCGTGTTGCCAGTTTAGAGGATTTTTGTTTGAAGCCCTGTGAAGTCCTGTAGAGTACTTCCAGGCCCTCTTAGTTTTCTAGAGGCCAAATGCAATTCTGGCTGATCCCAACAGAAGCAGAACACCTCAGCACATCTGGACTCACCGCTGCATCTATTACACAACCCCACTATGTGAAGTCACGTCCAAGTCAAATAAGCACCCCCCCCCCCCCCCTCCCCCCTTAAAGAACACCTAAAGAGGGACAAGGGTAAGCCTGCCAAAAAAAAAGGACTCCGACCTCAAGCATTCCTCTCATCCAGGTCATGTTTTCATTACCCCGACAAATTTACACAGTTGTTAGTGATGGCCTGGGATTCCTCCTAAAGCACAACCCACCAATAATAAACAGAGGCCAGCTGACACCCTCCGACACCTGCAAGCCTCCCTGACAGTACAGGATTGTTCCCAGGCCGGAGAGCACCAAGAGGCCCTGCTTTCCACTCAAAGTGTTATCCATTCAAGAGGATGCCACCATACCACCCTGACACACACACGTCTGAACCCTGAAAGAAATGCATCATTGGTAAATCCTACCAGAGAAAACACCCTCACGAACCAGCCAGACTGGTGATAAAGCCACTCAGTTTGTTCTCTTCATTTAAAGCCACACTGCTCAAGAGTGGGTATGTGAGAGTATCTTATCAAATGTGCTGTTCAGAAAGCTTTCTTGTCAATGTGTCTTCAAACCTTTGACACTGTCAAACCAGAACTTTTCAGGAGATGCAGCACACTTTATGGATATTTTTCAGATGTATTGAAAAATTGCAGATTTTGACTTGTGGCCAGATTTACTAACAGTTTGCGCCAGCGCGCAAAGACATACAATGAAAAATTTGCACTGAAAAGCCGCAGACACGGTTATTTTGCGGCTATCCTTATTGCATATGCATTTGTAGGAGTTTCCCTTTCAGGCGCAAAATTTATGGGAGGAGAGTATTTAAATGAATCACATCTCATCAATGTACTGTTGTTTGCGTCATTATTTCCCACCAAAAAAAAGCACGTCTTAAACCAGACGCTACCTGGTAGATTGCATTGGTCATTTTGGAAATTATCTGACAGCGTCTGTGTTCCTTAATTTGTTCGTCGTCAGTAGATCACGCACAGAACTTTCCACTCCACTTTCATCGGCGCTGTTTTGGAATTGCGCTCTCATGCTAATTTGGCGTTTAGTAAATCTGCCCCATAGACTACAAAAAAACATTACAAAAAGTTTTGACTGATGTGATAAGATGCTAAATATTTTCATTAAAACGTGTACTATTTACACTACCGTTCAAGAGTTTGGTATCAGTGAATAAAAAAAAAAAAAAGAGAAATTAACTTTTATTCAGCAGGGATACATTAAATTGATCAAAAGGGACAGTAAAGACGTTTATAATGTTACAAAAGATTTATTTTGCTGTTCTTTTGAACTTTCTGTTCATAAAAGAATCCTGAAAAATGTATCATGGTTTCCACAGAAATAATTAAGTAGCACTTCTATTTTTAACATTGTCAACTGAACTGATTGTTTTTTTAATTTCAGTAACTAATATGGTATCAATATATTGTGTATCCCTAATGTTGGGAAAATATTGGGAAAATGCAGATACTTTCAGCCCTTTTTAGTTCATTCATAACTGACATAGTATAAGTTATGTTTGCTTATAAGTCGCTGTTTCTTCTATATCAGATACAGTAACAGAGGAAACTTGTTGATGGTACAACACCTGTTCTGTTAAACTACGGGAAACTGATGGAAACAGTCAGATCTGTTTTATCACTTGGCCTGTGGACTTATGAGGGCGAGAGGAAACCTTTCTGCCATTGTATTACTGTGGGCTAGAGGGTTTTGATCCCTCTTCTGCAATCGAAAGATGATCTCCAATCCTTGTTCTGCCCACTGTAATTCCTCGCCTTTGCCTGATGATTTCTTTTCAAGACTGACGGGGGAGCGCAAAAGCCACAGATAAGGTAGCTGGATCAGCCCCTGGCCAGCTGTGAACCCGATAGCATCTGTTTAAATCATCTAAAGGAGGACCGTTCCTTTTCAAGTCTGCACAGCTAGTTATCTCACTTTTATCCTGCACATGTAAGGAAAATCCACAGATGGCCAGGGTTCTGATAGAAATACACGTGATATCATTGACTATGCTATCAAAAAAAGGATGATTTCACAAAAGAAGTGTGACTCTGTCTCTCGCTGTCTCTTAGAGGTAAACAGATAAGCCAAAACAAAGACCCTCTTCACAGGAGATGTGGTTGGAAGTTATTCTTTCATCATTACCATCCAGACAAAACAACTGCTGACTGAACTGCAGTGTTTCTGTCCTCTATTCTGAAATGCACACCAGCAATACATTTTTTATTAGTATTATTTTTAATTCATGTTATGGACTGTTACACAATTTTCTTAAGGGTATATTTGTAACATAATCTTCCCTATTGCAATGATTTATATCTCTCCTTTGTCTAGTTTCTCAGGATAGCATATTGCACTCCAGATTATTTATACAGTATGTCCTCCTTTTTTTCTTGCAGTCCATCATTTTCATAAGGGACCGAAATTCTCGCGGACAGGAAATATCTGGGTATATAGACTACTCCCACCGACTAAAATCTGAAGACTTTGAACCATATTTCAGTGGAAAGAAAAGGTTTCTGCCAAAAACAACTGACTTAAGGTAAGCCTACTTATATTATGACCCATCTATGATGATTTCCGGTGACTATTGTTTTAATAGATGTGCTACTGAACATCTCAAAGGTTAGATTTTCTCAGATTAATGTGCATGAAAGCAGTATCCATCTGATCCCTGAAGCATTTGTCTTTGTGAAAAGGATATCCTCTCCAAAAAAAAGTCTGTGCACGAAATATCATGGAAACAAAAAAGACTTCCTCTTCAAAATGGAGGAAGATCAGGCAGCCATTATGAATAAAGGCTCTAATATTAATATTAGTCAAATAGTGATCCTCTTTAAACCAAGTTATGAAGTCATTACCATCCAAAAAGAGTCTTCATAGAGGTTACCTTTAAGAGGACTTAAGATCCATTTAAGATGATTAAAAACAGGAAATATATTTTAGTTTGGGGTCTTTACGTTAGAAGGATGCATTAAAATGATAAAATATTAGAATAAAGTTATTTTTTAAATGTTATATTAAAAATTTGAAAAATAATTTCAATAAATATTCAAACTTTCTGTTCATTAAAGGGAGAAGACACTATATTGTGGTTTCTGCTCTTTATTAAGCAGCACAACTGTTTTCAACATTGATAATAAGAAATGTTTCTTGAGCATCAAATCAGCATATCAAAATTATTTTTGAAGGATCATGTGAACCTGAAGACTTGACTGCATAAACTTGACTATTAGGAACAAGAGTAAAAAACAAATGTCAAGTAATACAATAAATAGGATGGGTCCATTCGTGTAATGCTTCACAATTCAGTTTTCAGACCATATACATTGCAAATGCAAAAATAAAAATAAAAATTAAACCAAATTTCCGGTTACTTAGCGGATAATTGCCATTTTCTGTCCTTTTTTCAATTTTACTTTTTCTAAATTGTGACTTCAGAAAATTTTAAAAGAGGACATATGATGGAAATTATCCATTAATGAAGTAACGGGGAAGTTACGAAATAAAAAATTAATGTTTGGTTTCATTTCTTTGAATTTTTCCACTGCATGGTCTGAAACCGTCTCAGGTTACGACTGTAACCATACTTCCCTGAGAAAGGGAACGAGACGATGCTTCAACGACGCTTTGGGAACGCCCCCAGCGTGAATGCGTCTGAAGCATCTATGTCAACTAGTCCAATGGAAAGAATGAGCGTCACAGGCGGGTGACGTCATGACCAGGAAGAGATAAAAGCGCATCCGGTGCAAACCGGCATTAGCTTCGAAAATTGCCGAAGCAAGCCGATCACAGGGATGCAGGAAGTATGGCAGGGTGACGTATGATCATCTCGTTCCCTTTCTCAGGGAACTATGGTTACAGTCGTAAACTGAGACGTTCTCTTTCGAGGGAACTTGCGATGCGTCAACGACGCTTTGGGAACAAGAATACCCGCCAGTGGCGTCAGGACCTTTTCTTTTGTGCCGAAGCCTTCTTCGTCTAAAGAACGGTCCTCAGATCCGGCTTCGACTTAGAAGGCTTCGGTTGAGAGTGTTGCGTCTGCTTCCAGTGTTTGTGTGGAGGTGCACGAGACGCAACACTCTCTTTCTGTTGCGCACGATATGAGGAGCTTGACGGCTGGGACTGCTCACGCCCAGCAGCCCCAGGGGGTTGGACACGACGAGGGAGATTTTTTTTTAAATGCCTCCGATTACTTCTTAGCTTCCTGGAATCTGTCGACGACCGCGTTAACTGCGTCGCCGAAGAGACCAGACGGTTCAATCGGAGCATCGAGGAGAAACGGTCTATCTTTCTCCTTAATCTCAGCGAGATTCAACCAGAGATGCCTCTCAGTGGCTACAAGGGCTGCCATAGACCGCCCAATTGCTCTGGCGGTCTCCTTTGTAGCCCTGAGAGACAAATCTGTGGCCCGACGAAGTTCACGAACCTCATCGGGCCCAACTCCCTCACTCCTATCCAAATCCCCCAGCAGGTCAGCTTGGTAAGCCTGGAGCACTTCCATCATATGAAGACATGCTCCGGCTTAACCTGCTGCCGTATACGCTTTGCCCAACAAATTAGATGTTGTCTTTAGGGGCTTGGTGGGCAAAGCCGAGGCCTTCAGAGACGATGCTGGACCGGGCGACAGATAACTTGCGAGAGTCTGTTCAGCCCGGGGCATCGACTCATATCCATACTCTTTCAACCCTCTTATACTTGAATATAAATGAACTTGAGGGCTGAAAAGACGTGACGAGTATGGCTTATTCCACGATCTAGACAGCTCACTGTGAAGATCGTGGAAAAAGGGAAGGCCTCGTGGTGGAGGTGAAACACTAGATGTTAGGAAGCGCTCGTCTAACTTGCTTTTGGAACGATCGCCCCTTTTCTAGGCTGGCCAATCAATATGTAATTTATCAACCGCACGAGTTATCACCTCCACCACCTCCTCATATGCTGGAGAAAGAGGTGGCGAATCTCCTTCCCCCATGTGTGTGCTTTCACTCGTCATGCTTAGTACATCAACCTCCTCAGGGGAAGAGCACTGAAGCAATGGCGGGCTCTCTCCCCGGGCGGAAGAAGCCGCTGAGCGGGCTTCCAACACCGGGGGGAGAGCACTGGATCTTCCGGGTAAGGAAGGAGAAAAGGCCCTCAGACCCATCTCCAACCCCTCCGAAAGATCCTTTTGCGATCCCCAGGAATGCATTCTCCGTGTTGCCTCAGCAACAGCGGGTCCTGCACCCTGAGGATCGCGAGCCTGGCCACTTTCATCAAACAGTGACAGGCGGGAGCGGAGCATGCGAAGCGGAAGCATCTTGCAATGCTGGCATTCAGCCCCCTCGAAGGCTGAAACCGCATGCTCCACTCCCAAACAAATCACACAAAGCTTGTGTGTATCCCCACCCGTTAAATAACGCGGGCAGGGAGAAGCACACTGTTTGTAGACTTGTTTCGCCATAACTCTTTCCAAATATATATCGAACAGACAACAATAAATAGACAGAGACAGAGTGACACAGATCGCTTGCTGAGGCAACAGAAGCTAATGCCAGTTTGCACCGGATGCGCTTTTATCTCTTCCTGGTCATGACGTCACCCGCCCGTGACGCTCATTCTTTCCATTGGACTAGTTGACATAGATGCTTCAGACGCTTTCACGCTGGGGGCGTTCCCAAAGCGCCGTTGACGCATCGCGAGTTCCCTCGAAAGGGAACTGAATTGTGAAGCGTTACATGGACCAGGTCGGATAAAACTTGAACATACACATTTTATATAACAAAAATTTGTGTTCTCCATTAGGTGTGCACTCCCATGAATGCCTTGCCCACTCTGCCAAAACAGGACATATAAAACTGTGAACCCCAAATAAATATTACCGTTTTTCTATGGTACATTTCTCGAATCATCCTCGACATTTGTAAAACAGTAAGTGCATTTCTCAAAACAATTAGTACAAATAGCAAAACACCATAGATTTCCTGCAAAAGCCAGTATGTGATTGATTATGACAACTTGTTCAACCATGTTGCATGTAAAGACTTATGCTATGAACTAATGCCTAAATGTTGTGGGGGGTGAGACAATTCAACAGAGACCCATTATAATACATTTTGATCAACATGACATAAGCAATTGATAATGTAGGAAACAGCAGAGAATTGTACATAATCATTTGCATGGATGTACCAAAGCATTTGCAACTTGTTCAAAGAAATTAGAAACTGCTTTTTTGATGTGCATAAGTGACACAATGATGTGAAGATTGAACAGGTAGTTTTGAGAATTTCAATTCTGATCTGAGAAATGTACCAAAGCGACTGAGAAAAACTGTAATAAAATAATGTGATGAAAGACTGCAGTCTGCAGTCTATGTTTAATACATACAGATATGTTTGTGTTTGTATATCCACATCCTAACTGCCACAGCACATTATCTAATCAAAGGAATTAAAGGAAGTACACTACAGCATAAGCATTCTCATTTCCTGTGTACTCTCCGCCCCATTTCTCTTTCACTCCCTATTTCTCTTTTAGTCACGTTTTTCTCTCTTTCTGTGTTCTCTCTTTCCTCCACCATCCTTCTCACGGGAACAATAAAAGGCAGTGCTTGTGGTTGCCACTAAGATGGAGCAGATGCTGTGTTCTTCCCGTACAGATGCATGAATCCACACTACAGCTGACAGACTTTGACTGCCTCACCACAAAAATATAGAGTACAAAAGTCATGGCCACCAGCTGAGGACAATCACATTCTTTTCAATGTAGAGAATTTTTAAACCGGCTGACAAAAGTGAAATTAACTAAAAAAAGATGGATGGATGGATGGATGGATGGATGGATGGATGGATAGATAGATAGATATAGATTTATATAGGAAAGACTTGGTGCTTTCTTTGGTTATATTGAATGGCACATTTACAGATTTCTCACTAATTCTAGTTTACAAACTGGACTATTCGCTTTCTCGTTGATCCATAGAGTTACAGCTGATGGATTTTAAAAACATTTTTAAAACACTCCATCAGGCTTTAGTTTGGTAACCATGGAGCACTGCCGTACACAAACATCCTTTTCTCTCTGTCTGTTTTATAGTGTAATGGTAAAGATGTAGACCTATCATTAACAGAACGATAATTGTTTCCACAAAGCCCTGGTTTTTCACACGTTGGTAAGTTAGTGTGGGTGGGGTGCCAGCTGCACTATGCATATTAAGCATTTCACGCATTTCATTAAGCAAACATTCATCACCTGGTGATGTCTGTCGAGACAATATGGGACCAAAATTGCCAAAGAACATGTCCAAATGAGGCAGGTTGCAAATCACAAAACAAATAGACCAAATGCTCAGATAGACCAAATACTCAGAGAGCCCAAGTCGGTCTTCCCGCTTCCTGTGACTCGAAAATGGAAAGGCTCTGGAGCATTTTTCTGCCCATCTTTTCATGTTCTCTGTTAAAATATCTCACATCTGTCCTGTTTCTTCGACCAAAAGTAAGTGGTTTACCATTGCATAAAAGTGGTCAACCCAAAAATGCTAATTGCTATATGGCGTTTCAGTATAAATAGACACAGAAAATGCTGTCAAACCTTATTTTAAAAAGGAGGAAGTGAATATGCATCCTTGCTTCTAAGTCCCTCACAAAGTTTTACATTTTGTATATGTCACAAACCATATGGAGTGAAGAAAAATTAAGACTTTCCATTTTTTTGTGAAGAAAAATCCATGTAGGACTAGAAAGTTTGATCCAAAAGGCAAACAGAATAACGGCTAAACTTGTTATTTCATGCATCACTGTATTTCTCCACAGAATCTTTGTCTTTTTGTGGGTCTGCCATGTTTACCGTGACGGTAGTCACTCCGATGGCAACCGAAGGAAGTCTTTCCTGTGATGCAAAATGCCAAGCGGAGACCCTGCGAGGATGTTTGATTCAGACCATTACATTTTATTTACATCTTGTTAGCTAGTCTTTTCATTTCAAGCACAATTTTGTTTGCTTTGGTGACTAGCACCATGGTTTCTGGTCACCTTGACAGGAAATGGCGGACAGAGAAGTTTGAGCTGTCTTTCCATCATGCGTTCTCTCTCTTACACACAGAGCCATATGTAATACATTTTTATAAACTGGAGATATTTCAAGATCGTAAAGCCATAGAATGGGCCTACTGAGCACTGGAAAAATTGACTTTAATCGTGTTCTTTTTTGGGTGTGTAAAGAAGGGCTGATCTAGGGCAAGCCTTGCAGGGAGACCGGCAACTGTCTTCCTGTGTTTTTAAGGACTTAATAACGTATTTTCAGTTCTATAAATACTTAACACCACAATGACATTAATCCCTGATTAATCTAGACTTATTATGGATTTATTCGATAATCCTAGTATCCATAAAATATTTTACTCTCATGCAAAAATCCAAGTGTCTTTATACTGACTTTATACTGAACCAGGGATTGCTACTAAACCAAATCGTCCCTAGCTTGAAATCAACCAAATGAGGATCATATCTCAAAAGGTTTTTTTATTTTGCATATAAGATTGTTTAATGATTTATATCGTTGAGGTTAAGGTCATAAACATTTTACAGATGCTGTTTATAAGGAGTTCTGGACTGTTAAGTAGCATTGCAGCAATACTAAACGTATAGAGCGCTGGCTTACGTCCACAGTGTTATCACAACGGAGAATAAAATGCTCTTGCATCCATGTGCCTCTCCCTCGGATTCATAAAGTGCCTCTCCCCAAAGTCCAGCTTTGTTCTTGGACCACAAACTACTGCTTGGGAAAAGCTGAGGTCCATTGGAGCAACCCTCACTGCCTCAGAGTGTGACATTTAGATTTCTTTTTCTGCAAAGCAGCTGTTTTCCAGCAGTTGAGCTTATTATGAGAACCACGAACACAGGCCAGACAGTCTCTTTTTTCACTATTTCTCATTGCCTGCATTAAATACATTTATATCTATTCTCACTGCCATTTTGAGTGGCCTGCTGGTTCTCAATCTTTACATTGATCAGTGTGGACAGAGGAATTTTTGGTTGTAGCTTTGAGAAAGTTTTTCTTTAGCCCTGGAATGTCTTGAAAGTTTAGTAGAAGCTCAAGTGTGAATGCAGATTTTTGAAGTTGGACATCTATTATTGAACATATTCAAATAAATGTCCCAGAGTCTCTGTATTCAGTTAGAGGGAAACGGATATGTCAGTGAAACGTCTGTCCAACAAGCATGCCAAAGGCTAAAATAGTAAAATGGCTAACTTTCAAAGTAACAAGCCTTCCCTTTAAGAATTTCACGTGGAAAAATGGAGAAAAAATTTGTAGAAAAACGAAAAAAGGTACTGGTAATTTTCTTCCGAGATATTGTCTGTTAAGTTTACGGAAATTTCCTTTAGCCCTAGAAAGCAATGCGATGTGTAGCCTAATTCAAAATATGGGTAAAACACCTGTGAAAAATCTATTTGGAAAATTAAAAATTCCTTCATATTAACACAGTACATGTGCCCTATTTTACAGACTGTTCTTATAGTGTACATTTGCCTATGCAATGAAACTGAAAAAACTGTAAAAAATATATATATCTTATAATTGTTTAACGTGCATGCACCTGCCTTTCTGGTTCCCTACACCAAAAAGTCCTTATGTCTTGCGATTTGTGCTCTACACATTTAATAGCTGTCAGTTAAACTTTGCCAATTGAGTTAGACTTAGAAGGCATATAGAAAACTAATAGTGTATTATTTCCATTTTTTTGTTCTGCATCCATAGTTTGCTTTCAGTCATTAGACATTTTTAGAAACGTGTAAAAAGATCTTCTGAATTACATGCAAAGAGGTACATGTAAGGCCACTATTAATGTAATTCTAAATGTCAAGAGCATGATTGTTCTTATAATTCCTTATATACAACTTAACACCTGGTGTTCTAAGTGCATGTTTTATCAAACTGGAATAGCACACAAGACATATCCTGACATTTTGTCAGGTGAACTTTTTTTACTTTATAGTTAATATTTTTCACTATATTCAGCAAAGCCTTTCATCTATAGGGATCTCCCAGTCACGTGACCCCTAGCCGCGTGTCAGCCATTTTGACGGAATACATCCGTCGGCTACTCATAGATCCATTGCCGTGGGTAATATATATTATTGGTATATTATACTAATAATATGATTATTAGTATAATTAGCCTAAATATTGCAATACTTTGCGCTACAGTATTGATATAATTGCATGCGCAAAATCATGGTGCAAAATATCTCGATACTGAACAGAATCGATTTTTTCCCCCACCACGTCATGTCATCGCACTTATTATTAGCATCACAAAAATAAATATACAAGAGGAAGATAAAGGAATTCGGAATCATATATCCATATGAAGCACCACAAGTTCTTTTTACAGGCATTAAATGTGTAGAAAAACTTCCTGACATTGAGTTCGGTGACATTACAGCTACCTTATTCATTTCCCATCACACAGGAGCTTCATTTCAAGAAAATGATTTTTCAATCATCACCGCATAGGTTGGTCAATGTATTTTTATCACTAAATTATAGTACCTGTAATAATTTTTAAACTGAGTTTACAGGGAAGAACACAAAACAAAATCACTAACAAGATTAAGTGTATCTTTAATGAATTTGTTTAATCTAGTTTGATCCAAGAAAAACAAAATAATAGCCTATGCTTATATACTTTTTTATACTTATCACTGACTGTCACTGTATGATAAACTGTCATTGAGACTGTTGCCTCAACCTGTGTTTCTAACGATTTATAAGAAGTGTCAAATAAAATACAAGATCAGCTTTTGGTATTTGAAAACGAAAGAATGTAATGTGATAATTATACGCCAAACGAATTAACTGATCTAGGAATGCATGTACCGGTATGCGTTTTGCCTGTTTATTGCCTCCAACCACTTGTTTCTCCGTTTTGTTTCTTTGGGATATGGTATAAAGATATTCCTTTTGTATTATCACGTATCTGATCGCATCCAAATGCACAGCATCGCTCGGGCATGATAGGAATATTTCGCGACGAGCTGTATTTTCACCGGCGGTTTAGCATTTTCTATTCCGTCAAGATGGCTGCTCCAAATGGCGTGACGTCACGCGATCCCTATACTGCTACCCTATACTGTGTTTTTTTGTCAAAAATGTTAAGTCATGCATTTTAATATCTCTAAACTATTCTAAACATATTAACCCTAACTTTTTTCAGCTTCTACAACTGGGGAACACAGGTGGCCGAATATAATACCAGCTCAAACTACGAGGTAATCACAGAGAATCCAAGCGGTCTGCTCTTCCAGTGCAGGAACGACACGAAAATCTTGAATGTTGACCCAGAGGTGAGCATGTTTGATACGAGCAGAACATGTGATACACTGGTAAACAGAGAGTGCTGACCTCTTTCAGTCGTGTTTTAGCTCTCATTTAACATCCATGAGTAAATAAACACCTGAACTACGTTAAATTGAGTATTGGTTCAATGAATAACTCAAGACTGAAGACTTAAGATTTAAACAGGAACATTGAATTTTCTCTGTACTACTATTAGATGTAGTGTCTAATCAGTTAATGAGGTTTATTAAGACAAATTTATTATCTTGCACACATAAAAAAGCATAACAGCAATGATCAAGAGTCATCCCATGTTCAAATTTTTGTGAAACCGTTCTTTCGTGATATCAAATAGCCTCCTTGTGAAGTGGAGATTGTATTGTTGCACCTGGGTAGCATTTTTGTTCCAATCTCTCGAAATATCCGTCAGAGTGGGTTAGAACGAACCGCGAAATTCAGTCCTGGAACCTGTGCCACAATTTTTTTTGCCTTTGTGCCCAGGAGCTATGAGTGCATGCTATTTTAGAAAAGAGGCAACGCTGCAGACCGACCTCTTTGAACACAAACTCGCCCAGGCTGCCTCGTTGAGGGCGAGATGGCAGAGGCGAGTATTGCCTGTGGTCGAGCACACCCCGACCAGGCCGGCTATTAAAAACGAGGGGAGGCTAAGGAACCCAGACACTGAAACCGCCTGTGCACCCAGAATCCAACCTCAGGCCCCCACCAGGCATGACCTCATTGCCCATGTGGATGCATTCCTTCATACAAACTGGCGAAACCATGGCATTTTAAAGCCTAGATTTGATTTGTAAGTTTGTTTGTTTGTTTGTTTGTTTGTTTGTTTGTTTGTTTGTTTGTTTTATTGCCCTTGTTAGATACAGCCGGTGTCATTTCAAAATTTTAAACCCAAATTATTCTTCTTTGGGTTTTGTTTGCTTTTGAAGGAAATTGTTATCCCTCCAAAGAAGCTGTTGGTGGTTTAGTTTGATAACCAATCCTTATAAATCAACAGCTAATGCTTTTCGTTTGCTTTATTTCATTTTTGGGGGGAATGTTCAGCATATGTTTGCATTTATCCTGGCTCTAAACAAAATTGGTATGTTAGCCCAGACAAGTTTGATGAACAGTAAATACATAGAATGAATGTAAACCTAAATCTTCTAAAACAGTTAGCCTACTCTTTAATAATGGATCCCAGCTGGGTTAAGATCGTATTTATTCTTGGTGGAGGCACCCTGTGGAGTCCATATATTAAAGTCACACCCAGACTCATGTTTAAACATCAAATCACACTTATACTGCAATATATATATATTTTTTCTCAACTTCAGTAATATAAATAGGCATTTAATATAGATGGCATTTAATATAGAAATTCTGTGTTGTGGGTTCTTTTGAAAATGTATATACTGTATATATTAATTAAATATAATTAAATGGGTAGCACCATGTCTGTTAAAGATCAGTGTGAAAATACTAATTAGAGCAGTGAATAATGTTTTCTCGAATATAACTTGTGAGATTTATTCCTCCAAGGTTGGCCACCATTTAAACTTACTATAGAAGATCCAGTTGTGGTCTTCTACTGAATTAGATTTGAACTGATGTAGCAAGAATTCTTCAATAAATAAAATTGTTAAAATTTCTATCTTAAAAATAATCAGTTTAATCCTAATTACTATTTCTTTAACCCAACAGGCAATACCTGGTGATAGCTTCATCCGAACTCCTGTCCGATCTGACCTATATGTACATGTTGTAATTTATGACCACGTCACCAGAAAACCCGCGACCAGTTCCTGTGCACCACTCTCCAATTAAATGTATTATAAAAATTAAAATTAGTGGAGCCACTAATTTCATCTACATATAAACAGTTTTAATCTGTAAGTATTTCATAATAATTTTGACTTCATATTGTGCACAGCATCTGGATGTTATGAATGGTAGAGCTGTGTGTTTTGATCTTTAGGGTCCACTATTATTATTATTTTTTTTAAATAATAAAAAATCTTGCTATCTTGATAAACTGACTTGTTCATTATATTAAATATTTAAAGACATTTGAATAAAAATGTACTGATTTTTTTTTTTGTCGAGCTATTTTTATTTCTATTAACCACTGTTGCCATTATCGTCTGCAATCACACGTTTGAGGCACTTAGTGACATAGCTTTCAGATAATGTCTGATGCTGCAGTCACTTACTTGGGAACCTGAGCTTTGTATTGTATTCTTATCTAAAACAACTCCTCTGTTTGTCTGAACAAATCAAAGATAAAGCCCTTTAGAAACATGGGGGTTCTTTCATGTCCCCTCGACTGCTTTTGACTAAAAGCTGCCAAACACTCCATGAAGTAGACAAGGACACCCATTCCACATGATTTCAGATCCTAAGATATTGCAGAGAGTTCCGGCATTAGATATCCATCAGTCAATAATTCTGTCTTTGAGAATTTACAAAAAGGAGACAACAAGATATTGCTATTGTGGTGGCTCATGGTACTTGTTGGTGCCATTGTGGTACTTCAATAGTTAGTTTACTGTTGGCCAAAAGTTTACAAAATGCCAATTAACAAATAGGAATGTCACACTACTAAGTTAAACAAAACTTAACCCATGCTAGAATTAATATATATAAATTCTGTTTAATCACCAGGATGAGGGCTCAAGAAGTGGGTGGTGATTCACCCACATTCATAACTGTTTTACTTAACAGGCCACAGTCCTTATTCATGTGGTGGAGTGGCAGTGTGATGAAACTGCCCACTTCAGTCCCTCACAACGGCACAGCTCATTCATACACCTACAAATCAACATAGCAGATGTGCTTGTGAAAATCTGGGTTCTTATCCTAAAGTGGACTAAGGGAGTTTAGTGGGACATTATAAAACATGATAAATATAGGTTATTGACAGAAGACCACATATTTTCTCACTATACAGCAATTACATCTCGGGCAGATCTGACAAAATCATATCTTGAAAATAAGTCCACTGGCATCAGATGTCTGGGGTGGGAGTCAATCACTTCCTCCTCAATGATCCTGAAAGAGAGTCCGTGACAGAGGACATTGAAGCCGTGCTCGCGGGTCTGGTGTGCGCAGGGGACGCGGTGCAGCATCCGGATCAGACTCTGCTGTGCAGGATGTGTCTGCTCATCGCCATTGAGCTCAACTAAATGGGACAGAGAGCCTTTAATGCTCTCCATAAGCCATGTCATTCAGCGTGTCAACCCAGACACACAGCTTTGCTGAGAGACGTTTCACGGACCTCACTATCGAGCATTAGGCTACAACACAGATCCACATGACTCACCCAGTCGCTCAGAGACCGCTGGGGGTGTGAATAGTGTGCGATGAAGACGTAAAAGTATGTGGTTTGTTTTGATGCCCTAAAAGTGCATTCGAGACTATAGGCTAAAGAATGCATTTTTCACGTGCTGTATTTTTTAGAGGCTAGAGAGCTACTCATCGATTCTTTCCTTCTCTCAAGGCTACACGTGTATTATTCTCTTTGTGAAGAATAATATCTGACTGTATCAACAATAACAATAAATCAATTGATAAGGTTCACAAAACCGGTCTAAACTATTCGTTCTTGAGTCAGACTGAATGAATAATAGTGATTTTCTACTAACCGAATCGGTCGAAGTGAATCTTTCGGACAAGTCCGACTCGCAAAAATACGGGTTAACAACTGATTCAGTGAATCAAGAACCGCCTGAGGAACCAAACCTTGACTTGACCAAGGGGGTAATCCATCGACCGGAAGTTGAAGCCGGCCGGGTGCCGCCATGTTGTAGCAGAACTTCACTTGCGTTAGCATTTCCATTGACTCCCAGTCATTTTGGCGTCACTTTGACAGCGAATAACTTTACATCTGAGGCGTTTAAAGACTCCATTTGTCCATTATTTATTTCTAAAGAAACACGACAATGTATAAAGGGCTCCATTACCTTCTATGTTACATTATGGCCCCGTAGAAACAGATTTAGTAAAAATAGGCTAACGATTGCGTCATAACCACTCGACTCTCTGTCGCGCTGTACAGAAATTACCGTACAGACAGGAGGAGAAGCTCGCAGGCAATCGGGGGGACGTCCCGTCAAGGGAGAAGCCCATAGATAATGAGTCCATAAAAGCAACGGAATACTTACTCCTGCTCACTCACGCCAAATAACTCTTTGCTCAAGTTCCCCGTCTCTGCAAGATTAACATTGGCAGTTTTCACGCACAGCTACTAGAAGATTAACGTCTGTCAGACAGGTTGCTCACGTCATCAAGCTTAGTTTGAGTCGGTTGGAGTCTGCGCGTCAGGAACGGAAGTTCTCAAAAATCTCTAAAAGTGGGCTTCAACTGTCTCAACTGAGTTCCAATGAGATCGCTCTGTCCATTTCTTTTACTGTCTATGGACTTGACCACTGGTGCGGGAAGTAGGCTAGTTTAGGCTAGGCTACTTCATTAACTAGGCTATGGCAAAAATTAAATAAAAGATTCTGGATACAATTATGAATAGCTTTGTAGCATAAGATTTTTATTAATACGCATTTGAAACAGGAGTTGGTTTTAATAAATTAGCTTCTATTTAAAAATGCAAAAACTGTTTCAACCAAGTGATGTGAATGAACTTTGGTTTCTATTGGTTAGTGTAAATGCAAATTTTTAGTTTCTAAATTAATTTGTTTTTCTTAGCTGGATCAATGCTTCAACAAATGGAGCAGTGCTTACAATAAACTCTTTAAAATTAGTAGCCAGCAATAATGAATGCCTCGCCGAGATGTTAGCACGTGGTGACGTAAAGAACAGAAGAATATGTTTATTGAATCGGTTCTTTTAAACGAACCGTTCAAAAAAACGATTCGCGGAAATCATTTGGACTTCCCAACACTGTCCGACTGCTCCCATAAGCCCTATATATTACCAGCGCGACAAGCTTTACCTTCAATGAACGCAGGGAAGAGGCGCGATTGGCTGAGAACAGCATCCCTCAGACACAAAACCGAGAATCAAGCCTGGCCATCAGGACAACAGCAGACCAAACTCACACGGACATCCTCGTACATTTTGCACAAGGACTGTGATATCTGCTGCATCTTTGGAAACGTGCATTTGGACTATTCTTTTTGAGCACACCAAATTGTCATCTTGTTTAAATTTCCGCTTTAATGTTTCTCGATCTCTTTGCCTTATTTTTGTGGTCCATGTGATGCTCTCCCTCTCAAAAGACAAGAGTTTGGAAACGCATTCAGCACTGATATACTACACCTAAATCAGCTTCAACAGTCTCGTACATCCAGCATGGATCGCTGTCAACGACTGTTTATCCTCCTGTTGGGATGGGGTTATCTGTGCGGTGGATACTGTGCTGTGCTTAAAACACCGTTTATGAGTTTCTCGAAAGACGTGCAGTTTGAACAAAAAGTGGAAGCGCAAACTAAGCAACATGTGAAGAAAAGCGAGCAGGACACGCTGTCAGAACACATGCAGATGCTCTACGCCAAATACACCAGCGCGGGATTCCCTCTCAAAGATGGCAACACTGTCCGCGGCTTCAAAGGACATTTGGGTAGGTGTTAAATGTATTTCGTAGTAGCTGACGAAATGTAGCAATGTACTCGTTAATATCACATCACTCCTCTTACGTGAGTTTAAGTGTTGGTGTGTTCATCAGTTTTGCGCTTCATATCCAAAAGATGTAGTTCACCCAAATATGAACTCTCTTCATTTACTCATCCTATATATATATATATATATATATATATAAACCTGCAGTCCTACCTGTTTTTTTTGTCTGTCAAACACAAAAGAGATGTTTAAATTAATTTTAAGTGCATCTTTTTCCATAGCCCATATGGTAACGGTGACTGAGGCTGTCAGTCCCCAACTTCTGTTAAGTTTTCATTTTAGAGTGAACGGTCTCTTTAAGACAGCTTGTTTTGCAGTTGGTTCTATTACACCTGTTGATTTAGATTTGAGAGACAGCAGATCGAGGTGAAGAACAGATCGTCCTGTGGCGTTTCATAAATCATTTTAGATATTAGTGTTCAGACTTTTACGTGTTATTCAATGTACTTTTACACCGCGTGTTGCTCCTTTATTGTAAAGCAAGCGAGCGTTCGCCTCAGTAGGCTATTTGCAAGTGAATTAAACGATTTCGATACTGATGTATTTAACTGAATAATTTTTTTTATGTTTGAAACATTATCGTTTAATACACTTTAATCGCTGGTATGACCATAACTCACTGGTGTTGAGAAGTTGCGCTTCTTCGCTCACGATGACGCTCGGATGATATATTGTGCCAGTGTTTCCAGATTTCTCATCAAAACTAGCTAAAATTAAGCGACTTGCCACACCAAAATAGTAATGTATTTTTAATTGTTATAACTTCGCAAAAATAAACTAGTTATCTAAATAACAGAATAAATCTCTTTCGTGCACATTTACGCATCACTAATATGGTGAAGACGCTGGGAAGAAAGGGAAACACTGCAGCGATTAATAATGACATTGTTTCGTGCAACTTGGCTTTTAGTGGTTGTTTGTACGCAGTTGGAACAAAATCACCCTAAAAGTGCAACCTACATTTATAAACGACTAAAGAAAAAGAAAAAAGCCCAGACTGAGTTACTTATGAATATGATGAGTGAACATACCGCCCTCTAGAGTCATTTGCTTGTCATTTGCCTTCTGAGATATGTTTTGGTTAAAGAGTGATGATAACGCCATGCGTTTTTTGAATGTGTGATTTTTTTCCTGTTAGGGTCCATCAATGATAAGCAGTTACAAATCTTCAACCTCACTTCTCTCACCAAGTCTGAGGATGTTCTCTCAGCAACGCTGCACTACTACATTGGTGACCTGCAGAACATCAGCCACAGATGCCCAAGGCACAAGAGCTGTGCTCACCATAATAATCTCAGAAGACAAGGTCATATTCACCTTGATGTCTGGAGTTTCAGCTTTGTGGATAACACCACCAGAACAATCGGCCATTTTTCCATTAACATCTCCACAGTGTACCGGGACTTCATATCATGGCAGTGGAAAGACATTACTCGTGTTGTCAACCAAGCCAAGCATCACGACCAGCTTCTCATAGGCATTGACATTGACTCAAAAGGACACCAACCTTGGAAGAAACTCTTGTCAGATAGGTCTCCTTACATTCTGGTCTACGCCAACGACTCGGCTATCTCCGAACCCGAGAGTGTCGTGTCCACCTTGCAGAGACACAGAAGCAGACTGGTGCCTAATCTTCATCTGCTTGAAATACATAATCGCAGTGCCTCCTCGCAACATCGGACCAGACGGTCCACCAACGTCCTGCTGCCGCTACAAAACAATGAGCTTCCAGGCCCCGAGTACCCTTATGAGATACCTACATGGGATGAGACCAGCCCTTACGATCCAATGGAGAGCAAACCAGTAAAGCGCCCTCGCAAGAAGCCGCGCAAGAACCCACGGCACAAGAACCCTCTCCTGCAGTTTGATGAGCAGACCATTAAGAAAGCTCGTAAGAAGCAATGGAACGAGCCGAGGAACTGTGCTCGCAGATATTTAAAGGTTGATTTTGCAGATATCGGCTGGAGCGAATGGATTATCTCGCCCAAGTCTTTTGATGCGTACTACTGCTCGGGGTCATGTCAGTTCCCCATGCCAAAGGTATGTATTAATGTATGATTACAAAAATCTCAAATTCCACACTTTTTTTGTTGAAATCAGTAAGCTGGACTTTTTATTATTATTATTGAGCAAAAAGTCAAGATGAGTTTCGAAAGGTTGTGCACTCTGATCTGTTGTGATCCAATCAACTCCAGGAGCAAATAACCAGAGCAGTGGGGAAAAGGACTGATACATGCATGTAGAGAAGTGAAATATAAGCACCACCTAGTGGAAGAAAAAGCTGTAAATCATCATAGGCAGCACAGAGGTTCATTCATCTTCCATTATTATACCATTCATGTCATCCTTGATCATAAAAGCTGCCTGTTTCCATTTAGATATTGCCACCAATGGTTTTCCCTTTGTGATATGATTCCGTTTAAGAAACATACTTCAGTTTTACTACAGTTTTATGTTTCTGTAGTAAAGTTGATCATTGAAAACCAAGACCCAATTGTTTCATATTCTAAAATGTATGTGGCTAAATTCCTTCCAGATTAAAAAAGCAGTTATATCACATATCATTTACCGGTGGTATAGATTACCAGTCATTTAAAGTTGATCTTTAAAAACATAAATCATTTAATAAGACAATATGTCAGAAATAATGTCATCTTTTGCAAAAATTAATATCCATTTTCATACTGTATGTTATAGTGTTGTAATTCCTAAATTCACTTTTAAAATGATTCAATTTAGTTTTTAGTGTTTTATTCTTAATTTATTCAGATACTTTAGCATTTTAATATCTACAATTTATCAGTTATAGGCCAGAATGTTAATATTGGTACATCGCCAGTGTTATTTTACTATTGTCTATATACTATTATAGTATTTATTAATATTTTGAATTAGCTTTTATTTATATTTGCAGGTTTCATTGTTTAGGTTTTAGTTATTTTGTAATGTGCTTATGGCATTTTTATTAGTTTTTGTTTTATTACAAAATTATTTAAGTTTAAGTTTTTCATCAAATATTCTATCTCAGCTTTATTTCAATTAGCGAATAGATTTTTGATAGTTTCAGTTTTAGTTAACAACAGAAACATCACAACAGCAAATAGCCATCCCATGTCAGGCTTTTCTTTGCTCTTCGAATGATTGTGAAAAGTGAGAGCATGAGTAATTTCCCTTTCACAGACATTGGAATGCAGATGGATTAGCATGAAACCATCCATAATGGCCCGGTTTCATAGACAGGGCTTATATTAAGCCAGGATTAGGCCTTGGTTCAATTAGGACATGTAAGTAGCTTTTATAAACATACCTTAGAAAAAGAAAAAAACATTACTGGTGTGCATCTTGAGACAATGGCACTGACATATTTTAAGATACGTCAGCGCAAGTTATTTTCAGTTAAAACAGCTCAAACATGCATTTTAGTCTGGGACTACGTTTAAGCCTTGTCTGTGAAACCTTTGACCTATTTGTACACCCTTTAGTGCTTTCACTGGTTTATCGCAAAACAAACTGTAGCTGTCCTAAACCCTGTAATGGGTTCTGACCTCTTGAGCTTTTTACCTCTTACAGTCTTTGAAACCTTCAAACCATGCGACCATCCAGAGCATCGTTCGGGCGGTCGGGGTGGTCCCGGGCATCCCAGAGCCCTGCTGTGTACCGGAGAAGATGTCTTCCCTCAGCATCCTCTTCTTTGATGAAGACAAGAACGTGGTCCTTAAGGTCTACCCCAATATGACAGTGGACTCCTGTGCCTGTCGGTAAATGCCTTGGTCTTTTCCACCAGCCTCCCTCCCCTAAACTGATTCCCAATTTTTGCACTGGAAGAAAAACTGAAGATGTTCGTTTCATAACCCTTGAAGAACTATCTACAGCTTTAAGGATTGTGAAGAGCAAAGTGCTTTTCCAGAAGGAATTCCTTCCTGTTAGCAGGAGGCTTCATGCATCAGTTGAGATATGAACATATGAAGAGATCCTCTGTCTGTGTTTGACCAGGATGTTCTCATGTTTCTATAACCTCAGCAGTTGAGCTTACAGGGGACAAACATTTGCTGTCATTCATCATGTTTCTGTACAGTTTGTATAATCTGTCATTATTATAGCTATATTTTTGCTACAGAGGCATTGATTGACTCTAAATGTTCATATTCTATGGCTGCTATAAAGTGGACTTCTGGGGGAAAATGAAAAGTAAAGATATCTTTTTTTTGTTACATTTGTCAATTTTTTTTTAATTATATTGAAATGATGACCTATATAAGTTACTTACAGTTCATATTCAGTTTTCCACATTAAGCTTAAAACAGTGTTTAATATCTGGGTGACTGTTTTGAATGTCTTCAATCTGCGTAAAATACTTTTTTTTATTTTTTCCTCCAAAAAGGTTAATTGTTACAAGCCTACATGTAACAGTGTTACATCGCATTTTGTAAACAATTTCTTTTATCGGTCTTTTTTTAGATACTTGCCTTTGTAAATATGACGTTTCCGTCTGACCTACTAATACAAGGTTGCATCCTCACATTTAGCTGAATTCAAAATGTATATGCACGCATTCTATTTCAGTAATGTTCATTTGGACATTTTTCTGTCATTCCTCTGAAAACTGCTAGTGTCAAGAAACCAGATGTTATTTTATGAGCAATTTTTCAAACAATTTATTCAGGAAGGTGATTATGACAATTGTATGTAGATTATTTAGCCTTTGTCTCTTTAACACAACACTGCCTATATAAAGTGCCTTAACATTAAAAGGTTAATCCATCATTAAATACAACTTATATTCTACTAGAATATTTATATTTCACAAAGATGAGTGTAACATGTAATGTCTTATTTTGGCAGAATATTTTAAGTCTATCAGTTTATTTGGATAAAATGTGATATTTTGTTCCAATAATGTTTTCTGTATACATCTTGTACTGTTTTTAGCATAGAACTAAAGCAAAGACATATCACAAGCTGCATGTTCATAAAAGGTGTGTGTGTTTTTTTGTTTTTTGACAACAGAGAAATGAACACATATATGTAAAAGTGGGCTATTATCTTAATATATAATACATACGTCAAAACACACTATGTAAAGCACTCCTTTAGCATTTTTGTAATATATTTTTTGGAAGGCTTCCGCCACACTGTGTGTTTTGTAAATGTTATGCTGTAGGTGAAAGGATGTGCTTTGTATGATAAGCTTCATAAGAAATTATATTTGTATATGGAAATGACCTTTAAAAGCATTTATTTATTGTCTGTATGATGCCTTCTGTATCTTAATTTTGTGAAGCACAGAGGGGTTCATTAAATATTCATTGAGCTTTGCTGCACAAAGGTTAGACGGGGTGCAAAAGGAAGCAATCACATGACTCATGTCAAATGAGCGAGAATGCTTCTTTTTGTAACATCTCCCTAGTTGAAAGAATCCCTTTCGGCAGATTGTTCGAGGAAATCAATAAAGTTTTAAGAATTATGTAGCCATGTGTTTATTTATCTATCATGTGTTAAAGGACTCAGCCCTCTGGCGATAAAGCAGAACTTTACTGAATATTGATTGCATTGTTATGCAATCAAAAATTATATTGAGATTGTTGCATCATGGAACATCCATGATGTAAATTCCTTAATGGGTCAATAAGGTCTGGAAAGTTACCACACAAACATCAAAGTCCATTATTTAATAGATACTTACAAATCGCTAATGTGCAATAACGGCTGAACTTGAAATGTGCTGGGAATAAAAAGGAAGAAATGCTCATTTTTTACATTTTAGATAACATTTTAATATACAATTCATGTAAAATATCTTTGTAGAATCTTGCAGGATGCCTAAAAAAAAACAACTAAATTCTCACAAAAAAGAAAGACATTTTTCCTATTCACAAGGATAAAATAAGCAAGCGGCAAACATTACATCAGCACAAACATATCTGGCTCAGATGCAGAGGTTCGAGTCACCTGAAGTATGCTAAAAATATTACTTTTCACATAACTCTGCTGGAGTTGCACAAACCCACTGAGGTTAACCTTTGAAACCTCATCAGTGGCATTCACAGTCACAGGTGGTCATTACCTCCAGGAGCTCAAATACGTGACATCACCAACGCTTCTAAAACAGGGAACATCTCACCCTCCTGCCAAACCACAATCCGTTCCACATGTCTAAAGGTAAATATTACCAATGGTTTCACACCATGCTCGTCTATGATGCCCCAGCTACATCATTCTCACAGACTGATCCTGCTCTGACATCTCGGTGGTACAGTTTCAGTCACTTCAACAATGTTTATAATCGCAATGAATGAGTACATCTGAACATCGTTTCTGAAACAATGTCTCTCCTCCTCTGCTGTGCCTCCCACTGCACTAACAGCAGCCTTCGGTCAAGGAGTCCATTGTTGCAACACATACACGGGTTCTGTTGGCTTCATGGTCTAAGGTTCCTTGGGGAAAAGGCTGGCATGTTGGAGATGACAAACGGCAGAAGAGTTTTGTTTAACTCAAAATGTTTGAGCACATGGGTGCATCGAGGGGTCAGTTAGAAGTCGGTGTCCCAACCCGACATTTCATCTGGAGGGATTTCTTCTTCAGGAGGATAACTGTCAAAGTAACTGTGGTCAGTGGGTCCCTTCACCTGGAGAAGAAGAAAGAGACAGATCAAATAAATAGTGAGAGGATCAGAAAGAAAAGGAAAAAACAAGATGATATTATATACTGATACAATACTGTGCAAAAGTTTGAGGTCAATAAGATGTTTTCTACTTTTATTTAGCAGGGATGCATTCAATTGGTCAAAGGTGACAGTAAAGATATTTATAATGTTACAAAAGATTTCTATCTCAAATAAATGCTGTTCTTTTGAATGTTCGATTCATCAAAAATACTTGAAAAAAAATCATGTTTCCACAAAAACATTAAGCAGCACAATGTTTTCAACATTGATAATAAGAAGAAATGTTTCTCGAGCATCAAATCTTCATATTAGACTAATTTCTGAAGGATCATGTGACACTGAAGACTGAATTAATGATGCTGAATATACAGCTTTAGCATCACAGCAATAAATGATATGGTACAATACATAGAAAGGAGTTGTTTATAATTGTACATTTCACAATATTACTGTTTTTACGTAATGTTTGTTCAAATAAATGCGACCTTGGTGAACATACAAGACTCTGACCCCAAACTTTTGAATGGTAGTGCGCATGTCATTTTATGATACGTGATCCCATAAAAATCTCTAGATGATGTTTGTCTTACCTCTCTTTTAAGTGGTGATATCAGACTTCTGGATTTCATACCACTCCAGCTAAATCCTGTAAACCATCTAAACACCAACGAACAACATCATGAATTTAATAACCGTTGTAAAATGTATGTAGGTAACAATGATACCAATTTCAAAGTTAGTGTTTATGGATGCCCACTGAATGCAAATGTAATGTTTGCTAACATGATAGAAACCTGTTTAGGGGCAAAGGAAAAAGAGCAAAGCATCAATTTAGTCCAAAGGCTGTGTAAGTTCAGGCCTATATAAGAGCAGGCCCAGAAAAAGCCAGAACATCCATAAAGGTCAAGATTAGAATCTCCTAAGATTTACTGATTGATTTGATTAGGAGTGACATGTGTTACTGATGGAACAAATTCCAGAGATCTTGGGTTATTTAGGGTACCATCTAATTTAGTCTGCACCATTATGAAAAACCAAGCATAAGTGTGTTTTTTTCAAACATGAGAAATCTGAAAATGAAAGACAAAAACAAGTAAAATATCTGTAGTAATATCTGCAACCACAATATATCCATAATTCAGTATAGTGTTTGGGTAACTATCTAAGCAACTACTTAAATGAATGTCTTTGAGTGTACAACGTCTGAGGGTTCTGACCAATATTTTGTGAAAACATATGAGATAATACAGTTAAATATTTTGCTAATTTTGTGTTAATAAATATAGCATAAGACAGTCAAATTGATGAAATTGGGGATATTTTTTAGTCAAACAGCACCAGATTTTGACTGTTGTACACTTACCTGTGTTTTTTAATATCAGTTATTCCATTCTTTAGATTGCCCAGTCGCTCTGAAGGGTTTTGTCTTCATAAAAAAAGAGAACAGCAAAATCATTTTATGATATATTGCAGAGGCTGAATAGTTTCCGAAAACAGGTAAAATACATAAGAATAAGTTAAGAAGGATGCATGATCGTACCTGCACAGCTTTCGGATAAGGTCACCTGGCCTCTTGGTGATCTTTTTAGGGAAATCCATCTTCTCAATTCCTTTCAGAATGAATGTGTATATAATCATCTGATCTGAGCCAGTAAAGGGGGGGCTTAAGGAACAATCAGATCAAATACATTAGAGTAGGTCTTTCATGCATTTGTATTATTAAATGTGTTCCACTAGAACTTGAGCTGATGCAAACCTTCCTGTAAGAAGTTCAAAGATCAGGATTCCAAGAGACCAGAAGTCCACACTGAGACCGTGACCTTTATTGAGAATGATCTCAGGTGCAACATACTCTGGAGTCCCACAGAACGTCCAGGTCTTCTGGCCACACTTGAGCTTCTTAGCAAAGCCAAAATCCACCTGAGTAAACATGCTTGGACTCAGTATCGCTGCACTGAGTTTAATAAGTGAATTCGAAGTGAAGTTTGCTGACTTCTGCTCACCAATTTGACGTATCCATCTGTATCCAGCATCAGATTCTCAGGCTTCAGGTCTCTGTATATGATGCCGTTGTTGTGTAGGTAGTCAAAGGCCTCTGTTACACAGCCCACACAGAACTTGGTAGTGTACTCATCAAAACTCCCCCTGGATCAAAACAGAAACGTTTAGCATATGCATCAAACCAGTAAAACTGTAGCTGTTCCGGATGCATGAAATAGGTAGACGTGATTATGCTGGACACGTGTGGGAGAGATACATTTACTATACTATGTAAATACTGATTTACATTAGTTGGAAAGCCTATGTGACATCACGTTGGATGATAACGTTAAATTGCAAATAAGCTTTGTTAATAAATTGTGAGCGGGTCTGTGACTGGCACTCAATTTGCCCTGGTTCGAGTGATGCAAAGTCATTTACATTACAGAACTTATTCAGTCTGCTAAATATAATGAACTGAGTAAAAGGCTAATAAATAAAAATCACATTTTGTCTCAAAATAAATTTCCTTAAGTAGCGCCTAGTTTATTTTCCTTTTTTACCCACTACTAGCTGACAATTTTTGAGCAACGTTAAAATAGCGTTAGGGAAACGTTAGTATAGCGTTAAAGTAATGTTAGAATAACATTCTAACATAACGTTACTTTAACGTTCCCCTAAATATTCTACCATTACTTTAACGTTATTCTAACGTTCCCCTAACATTATTCCAACGTCACTTTAACGTTGCTCTAACGTTTTTCCAACGTTACTTTAACATTCCCCTAATTTTTTTCGAACATTATTTTAACGTTCACCTAACGTTATTCTAACTTTCCCCTAATTTTATTCTAACGTTCCCAGAACATTCCCCTAATAACCCTGCTGTACGTCAGTATTCATGCAGCACACCAGCGACCCAGTATAGTATAAGAGGCGCGAGATCAGAGACGTGCAGTCAATGAAGATAGAAACAAACGTATTACTGTAATTTATGATTTCTGTGCTTTTCACACTATGCTTAACCCTGACTTAATATTTTAGCTATAAAGTTGGATTTATCTGATCATTATAAACGTGTTTTGATTGATCTCATTTCAACATAAATGCTCTATTAAAATAATGTCAGAGCTCTGTATAGGTCATTATACAAAAACATCTGCCACGTTTTAATTGGAAGGTTATTTTACATGTTTATTAAATAATAACCTAAAAATAACCATTAGGGAACACTTTGTGCAAGTTATTTTTAGGTTATTTAAAAATAACCTCACTGCAACTTTCTGGAAATGTTATTTTATGGTTGCAAAAAATAAAACCTAAAAAGAATGTTCCTAGAACGTTGTTATTTGGTTCTCCAAAAAATAACCAAACGGGAACCAAATACTAAAGATGGGGGAACATTCTGTTTTCTGGGTAGACTATGCAAACATCAAATGCGTTTTACCGGATTCAATGCATCTTGAACTTTGTTCAAACTAGGTTTGATCAGGATGTTCTTATCCAGTATGTGTCTAGAGGAAGTGCTGGCTGGTGTAGCTGTTTTTAACGAGTTTTGATGAGGTCCACACTGATTCCTTGGCTCCGTCCAGTTTCATCAGGAAAAATCCCACTTTACGAGTGCATTGGTTGGTAATTTTCCCGCTCTAGCTAGAACATGACGGTTGTGCAAATTGATTTTTTTAAACGGCAATCGCATATTTAGTTTTATATTTGTATTTGTGGTATTGTAAATTTCAGGGAAGAAAAAAAAACGTTGAAATGCGGGACACTGCTTATGTCTCGCGGGACGCAGGACGAGGAACAAAGCTCCCGATTCCGGGACTGTCCAGCTTTTGGTCACCCTAGCATGAAATGGAGCTCACCTGTCTCTCAGAAGACTCCAGATTTCTCCACCCAGACATGCCTCCAACAGCATGTATACATACTTGTTGTCTTTGAAAGTGCAGTACATTCTAAGAGCAAAAATGTACAGATCAGATCAAAACAAAAGTTTTGAAATTCACAGCTTGCAGTAACATTCACTGCCACTGACTTCTCTTATGTTTGGTTAAATGAAGCATTTTAGGTATGGACCTTCTCTCAATGTAATCATGTGAACACTAAGGGGATTCATCATGAATATCTCTTCAAAAGCAATGAACAGGGAAATTCAATGATCAGATTATCTTTAAGATCTTCCGATATTTCCTAAAACTCACAAGACTAAACAGGCTTTCCTAAAACAGTCTGATCACTGATGACTAGATGAACATACTTTACAATAAAAGGAGAGTTTGTTTCAAGCAAGATCCTCCTCTCTGAGTAGATGTGCTCTTCCTGTCTGTTATCCACGATGTGCCGTTTCTTGATGCATTTCAGAGCAAACGTCACATTCTCATGCTTCACTTTCACCTAGAGCAAAAAAAGGCATCATTATTGCTCATCTCACTCCCTCACTTTGTGGGAATGATTTATATCATAAAGAAGAAGTGTGATTATTGTGAACAAGCTTCTAACCAATTCAACTCTGCCAAAGCCCCCAACTCCCAGCGTGGCAATAACCTCGAGGCAGCTGAAGGGTATAGTGGATGCAAAGCTGCTCTCTGTCTCTTTCAGCTCTATCATATCATGTGACACTGGTGTGGTTGGTGGGGTGCAGCTTCCCGACCTTCTAATAGAAAAAGTAAGGATTTTCAGAGATAAGGGATTGTCATTATTTTGGTCATTCCGTTTAAGACAATTATACAGAGTGGCAAATTTGTCTAATTTTTGATTGGTTACACTCTAAACAATGCTGGGTTGTTTTAACCCAAATTTGGGTCAAATATGGACCAACCCAAATGTTCCCAGCTGGCATTCGACTGACATTAAACGTTTAAATGTGGTTGAAATAATGTCAGTTTATGAAAAAACATTAATTCAACGTTAAAACAACGTTGAACACCAAATAGTTGAAGTTGTGTTGTTGACTCACTACGGATTCAACATAGAAATATCAAAAAAAATTGAGTTGTACGTCAAATCAACATTGTTTTTACAACCATGACTTTTAAACATTTTGTTGAAATATATCAGTAGAAAAATAACGTTGTTCCAAAATCCAATTTGCAATCTGATTTGCAAAATCTAAACACAATTCAACGGTTATCCAACACTGGCACCTGACGTTGATTCAACAGTGACTCGACGTTAAAATGCCAGCTGGGTTGGGTTAAAAATTTAATTTAAAATTTTAACCCAACTTCAACTTTCACTTTCAACTGTAAATTTTTTAATTACATTTTTAACCCAACATTTGGGTTTGTCCATATTTGACCCAAATTTGGGTTGAAACAACCCAGCATTTTTTAAAGTGTACTAAACAGCTGAAAAGGAAAAAATACTATTATTTCTTGGCATTATTTCTTGGCCACTAAACAAATGAGCAAATTTGAGACACTGACCCTTGCTCTTTTAATAAAGTAATTTTAAGTAATAAAATTACAAAAGAGAAGCATTTATATGAGTGGTCTCAGACTTTTGGACCCCACTGTATATACAATATAGATAAATAGGTGGATTGGAGATTCACATGCTTAAATCTAGAAAGTAAAATCTGCCATTTTCCAAATAGCTCCAACCAGTTGAGATATTCTTATATTCACACTACATAATATACAATATGTACACGTATATATATATATATATAAACTTACTTAGCCTTTCTTTTCTTATCGTCTCGTGCTAAATTCTCGACATAGCTCTGGAGGTACTTCTTAAGCTCATCAAAAGTTCCAACAGTTTGACTGAAGGTTCTAAGAGAAAAGCGTTGTTAGTCACAAACTACAAGAAACATAATCAATTGAATGACGATGATCTTCAAGTGTGAACTCACTCTCGATCAATGACAAGGCATTCCACCCCATCCTCATCTGCTATTATATTTGCAGATCTGACATCATCACTGTAGTTTGGCAAAGTAGGAACACATAAAGTGCATTAGACATAAACTGAGCTAAAAATGGCTCCTAAAATGACAGTTCTATGAATATGTTTGTAATATTCTATTAACTAATATACATGTTGACGAGACAAAGATGATGCTCTCTGCTACTGCAGTGATGCTAAAAGTCCCCATATACCAAATGGTTATTGAAATAGGATTAAATGGGGACATGAGAATTGAGCTGGGGATTGAAGAAGGACAGCACCTGATGAGGGCCTTCTCTCCGAAATAATCCCCTTTCCCCAAGGTGTTGATGATCTGAGGCTCTTCATGATCCTGTGTGCTCTGTGTGACTTTAATCTGAGCAACAGCGAAAGACAGAGGTTGCATTTGAAAACGAACAAACCATATTAGTTTTTGAGTATTAGTTAGTGTTTTCAATAATAATGATTGGAGAAATGGAGTTAGTTCGTTCGTTCATTCTCAATTCTCTATAGAATGATCCACTAAAACACGATGACCCTCTTGACCTTTCTGATAGGCAGTTTTTGGTGGCCAGCACTAATGGTCTTATTCCCAAAACACTCTCGGACATGGTGGCGACAGGCTGACGAGAACCATCATTTCCGGTAATTAAATTCTCTCCCCCTCAGTAAAACCTCTTCCTTCCCCCCGTCTTGAGCGACAGTAGAGCAGAAATGAACAGGGGATCCGAGCCTGACTAGCTCATGCTAAACAGTTCCTGTAGCTTCCCAGTGGAGAGTCCTGTCTCTTAACCCCTTCGGTGTCGAATTACTGATTTATCTGAATGCGCTCGACCTCCCAAAGACCCAGATCGGTGTCTGCAGTGAAGTCCATGAGGATTAGTGGAGTGGAAAAGTGGTTCCTCAAATGGGATAAATCACTTTTATTTTTTGATGGTTTAGCTTTAGCATTGAATGGTGTGAGTACATAGCATAACCTGGGTAGTGTATGTATGTATGTAGCAAAAGCACATCAGTTTTTACATTTTAAATTATAGTAGTAATTCATTTTAAGTATATGTAACCTCGTGTAATGAGACATGACTTAATGTTAAGCATAGTACGCTAAATACAGTAAATACACAAAACAAAACAAATTGATGATAATAGATTGCAAATTACCTTTCCATTGGCGATTATGTAAAAAGTGTTTCCTTCTTCTCCCTCCCGGATGATGTAGTCTCCTTTATTATAATACTCCTGTTCAGCAAACGCAAGACAAAACTCATTTAGCTATTGATTTTACCATCAACCCACTGCTGTCATTTTCCCGGAGAGGTTCCCTGAGGGAGACAACAGGAAGGCCGCCATGTCTGCTTTCACAATGATATAAGAAGATATGTCTCCTACACTTATTGCTTACTTACATACTTGTCAAATTTCATAAAATGTGTTTCCTCAGTAGAAGTTAAAAGGCTAGGTCACCCAAAAATTAAAATTCTGTCATTTACTCACCCTCAAGTTGTTTCAAACCAGTATGAATTTCTTTCTTCTGCTAAACACAAGATATTTTTGTTCAGCAGAAGGAAAAAATTCATGCAGGTTTGGAACAACTTGAGGGTGAGTAAATGATGACAGAATTTTTCTTTTTGGGTGACCTAGCCCTTTAAATTGTACAGTTGACCGTAAGGTAGCACTTCACTAACCATTAAAACAGTTCAGCTTTTTATAATAAATAACAACAACAAAACAGCATTTTGGAACTGGCTTTAATACTCCAGAATAAGCTGTTTACTAGACTAAAATTTGTGGGGGGTTTTGTTACTGTACCCAGCTGGCATTCGACTGACATTAAACGTTTAAATGTGGTTGAAATAATGTCAGTTTATGAAAAAACATTAATTCAACGTTAAAACAACGTTGAACACCAAATAGTTGAAGTTGTGTTGTTGACTCACTACGGATTCAACATAGAAATATCAAAAAAATTTGAGTTGTACGTCAAATCAACATTGTTTTTACAACCATGACTTTTAAACATTTTGTTGAAATATATCAGTAGAAAAATAACGTTGTTCCAAAATCCAATTTGCAATCTGATTTGCAAAATCTAAACAAAATTCAACGGTTATCCAACACTGGCACCTGACGTTGATTCAACAGTGACTCGACGTTAAAATGCCAGCTGGGTACTTTGGTTGCCTAGAGCTTGAGAACACTGTGCTTGAACTGATATCCCTCCAATTCAATGGAACGATTCACCTGAAATTTGAGATTAAATCTTGTTTCGAATTTTTCAAATCTGAGTTTTGCCAAAACTGAATCATTAAACCATTCTAGAACATTATAGCTGTCCATCAAAGGCATCCCAAGACATTCTTTGAGTTTTAATTTCTCTGGTGCATGTACTCCACTGATCTCCATCCCCAACTGTCTTCCTGACAGAGCTCTGCTGTGTCATTAGAGAAGCTCTCTAGGTATGCCACACTCCTGAGGGTCTCAAAACATGTGTCTTCTTCTAGCATCCCATCTGCATTCCATTCCCCACTGTTTAATGATAGAGTTCCACATTATCTGCATGTTTCAGTCCAAAACATCTGGGCCACTATTGGGTTACATTGCTTCTTTACCTCTAGAGAGGGGAATATAATCAACTCCATCGGAGTGATTGAATAACGACATTCTCCCATTCTACCCCAGGGGCCGACAATCGAGAAGAATGCCCTTGATGTTTTTTCAGCATGGAAGAACATGAGGATGCTTATTTGACGTTGAGTTGACAAAGCCCACACTCTTTTAGAAAAATTCACTTGGCCCCTCATGGAGAAATGGAATAAATCAGTCAGCAGCCTACACTGGCTGCTACAAACATCTTTAACAAATCACTCGTCCCCTCGATTGGAGCGAACACTTCACCCAGCCGTAGTCAAATAACTATGGTAACAATATACAGGGCCAAGTGATGAAAGATGCAATATCAACACTGCTTGTCCAAAATTGTCGGTTTGGATTTATACATCTGAAAACTTTACCACAGATAGATATTTTGGATCAGATGGGGCTGGTTAGCTTTTTTGAATCACCAAATTTTAATAATGTTAAAAGGTTTTACTTACCACCTCTAAGCAGTCCACAATCTTAGTTAGTTTGTCCCCAGGTAGACTAGAAAGAAGTGAAACACTAAAATAAAATAAAATAAAATAAAATAAAATAAAATAAAATAAAATAAAATAAAATAAAATAAAATAAAATAAAATAAAATAAAATAAAATAAAATAAAATAAAATAAAATAAAATAAAATAAAATAAAATAAAATAAAATAAAATAAAGGTTAGGACATTTGTAGGAGACAAGCAATCAAACATCATTTTCTAAAATATATATTTTGGGCATTTTTGCCTTTTATGCATTTAATCAACATTTAATGTTCATTTGTCTTATTCAAAACATATTGGTTTAAATTTTGATCTATGACTCTCATATGACTAAACTGATACAAACAATTTAAGATTGCCCCTTTGACTCGGATTGAACTGATGGTTATGGAGAACAGTTCTGTTTCAGTTCAGTTCTATTTCATCTAATATAAGATACTATCTCACAATCCTTTCTTATTAGAATGTCTTTAAGAGCACTCAAATTGAATTATAACATTTTCCTCCTTTCATGTTTGCCATTTAAACTGATAGTTATATAAGCAAGGTCACAGAGGTCACTTCAACCAGACCGTGAACTAACATTAACATCATTAATAGCATGGCTAATGCCTCCAAAAAAAAAAACATTCCTAGCTATGCTTTATTTGTTTGTTTGATCTCTACAACGTTTCATGCAAAAGCCGTACTTTGATGTTTTCAGGTCCAGCTATTACTTGACTGCACATTATGTGGTAGGACAACACAGTAAACAGCGGGAGGGATGAACAGTTTGGATTACCTCCTCAGGAAGTGGCGGTATTGCTCGTGTCGAGCCTCGGCAGTCATCCGCATGATGTTGTGAAAGACTTCTCGATCGAGGGCCCATGTTTTCACATTGCTGGCCGCTGTGATCATAACAAAACTACAGGTAAGGGAAATACCAGGAGCTCCCTCGTTCCTCCCTGAGTGGTGTCCATTTAAACTTCAGTGACTCAGTGACCAGGGAACAACAGCTGCTTCCAATAGGACCATTAGGAAGTGATTACATTTTATCATGGTGACTTGGTAGAGAACATATTTAAGTATCAAAGTACCAACAGTGCAAGTGTAAAGAAATATAATTTTTGTAATATTAAGAGTGATCACATTAAAAATTAACCACTGAAAGTATGCACCACGCTGATTTATAATTTAATATTATGGGTAACCATGTTTTACTGCACACCAGTGCTTTTTTAAGAGTGGGAATAAAAGATAATATGAGGGAAGGCATTTGAGACGGTACATCTGGCCACACAAACAAGCAAACAAAATTACTGACAAGCCAATGAGATTACCACTACAAGACAAAACAATGGTGTTTTAGTTCTCACTGGTGTTTATTTGATAGCCTGTGGCTACATGAGGCCAATCCATGGTCACAGCATGAACTAAACACACAAAGTGCTTTCGTGCAGGGACAATTTGAATTCGGTGGAAATAAGTTACAGTACCCTATATAACATATTTGTCAGAAACAGAACTATATTACTCATACACATCTAAGTGAAAGATAGAATGAAGCACAAAGGAAATACTTCACCTTTGACCGATGCAGTCCTGGTGCAATTGTACAAGATGGCTAATTCACCAAATGTGGTCCAGACTGCTATTGATGTGAGCAGTTTGTTGTGCTGATAGACATCCAGCTTGCCATCTGTAAGAGTAAACGGTACTTAAACACAAATTGTTTCTTTTTTGCAACAAATTGTTGCATTCTGATTAAATTTGCATTTAATTCAAAAAGTGGGTTTATTATTATTTACAGTGTAGAGATTATAATGCAATAATTAAATTACTTGATTCATACCTGCAAGCACAAACAAGTGGTTTCCCGGCTCTCCTTGTTTTATGACGTATTCTCCTTGCTGGTACGTCCGCTCATACATGCATTCCACCATGTCTTTGACCTGTTGCACTTCCAGTCTCCTCAGATACTGGTTCTTATTTAAAGCATCGGTGAGGAGCTTCTTTACACTGTTAAAGATATTGGTAAAAATATATATATATTGCTTGTAACTGTGATAGCTGTGACATTGTTACTCATACCCCCGGTTTCACAGACAAGGTTTAAGCCTAGTCCCAGACTACAATGCATGTGTGAGCTGTTTTAACTAAAAACAACTTGCGCTGACGTATCTTAAAATATGTCAGTGCCATTGTTTTGTCTCAAGATGCACACCAGTAATGTTTTTTTTTTTCTAAGGCACATTTATTAAAGCTACTTAAATGTCCTAATTGAACTAAATCCTGGCTTAATCTAAGCTCTGTCTGTGAAACCGGGCCTTGGACTGTTCATGGGTTGACTGAGAACAAATTATTCAAGATGGACTAATTGGACAGTTCTCGCTATTGAAAGGCACCAGTTGTTTCCTTTTTTTGAGTGTTAGAATAGAGACAGGATTATGAATATCAGCATTGTATTTTGCAGGCAGATTAGACCAATTTAAGCCTCCCAACATAATGAGTTTAGCATATGAAAAACACAGACTAATTACCAACATGAACAAATGGCACATCTCTTTTAGCTCTTTGAGGATGCTTGATACAATAATGAATATTCTTGTTCAAAACCACGCACATACAGTATGCACACACAAAACACATAACATGACCTACTAAGGTAATCTTACATTCGCAAACAAACATACAGCTTTAAACCACATTTATTCCTTATGATGATAACAGGTAATAGTTAATCAAACTGTCTGTGTTGGTGCATCATCATGACACCAGTAGGTGGCGACAAGGGAAGTATTTATGAGTGAATCGTGAGATTACTGTTGCTCAAACAGACACGCAATAAATTCCGCTTTGACTTCGCTTGGAACTATTTTCATTGGAGGAGCAAAAATATACAGTAACTGGCAATATTTTGTCTAAAAGTTTACTCTATTAATTTGTAGGCATATTTCTTAAATATACCTAGTCCCAAATACTAACATAACCACTAATGACAATCAAATTCTGGAAGGAAATTGGCCTCAAAAGCAGAAAATGAATTACATCTCTCACCTTTGCTCTTTCCAGACTCGTGCACTCTCAAAGTAGAACTTTGGTATACCGCTGGAATCATACGTTCTGGATGAAGGCTCTGCAGAAACTCCAGCTTTTGCTCCTTTCCTCCTGTTGAGGGTATCTCTGAGCAGGCCTGTGAGACACTGACTGACCTTTTCCTTGATAGGTGATGGCAGGAGACCCAACTCCCCTTGATTCTTCAGTGCATCCTGCAGCTTGTTGAGTTGGAGACACTTGTTCCTCAAAGCATCAGATATCTCTGAAATGGCCTGTCTCTGCTGAGCCAACTGCTCCTCTAGATGTTTGATCTGAAGCTCCTTGGCATTCAAGTCTTCATCCTTCTTCTTCAGTTGACTCTCTAACTCTTCCACTCTAACTCTGAGGACTTGAGGAACTGAGCTTGTTTCCCCATTGTTTTTGGATTTGGCCGAGCCACTGACCTGCTTGAGAGGATTCAGCTTCATAGAACCATTTCCCATTTTGGCACTTTTATTCTACAATAAAAGATGATCAAGTTCAATTTCAGTTTGCTGTCGGATGACATCACACAATATTATTAAAATAATTAAAGGATAATATTATTAAAAAATTATCAAATATAATATTTCAGTCTTAACCCTTTTTCTGTCAGTCAATTTATTGGCTTGAAAAAACTTATTTAACATTTAAGTGATTATAAACAAATGTTCTACTTTGTGATAAAACATATGAATACAGAAGTGTTATTTTAATGTCACTGAGATACTATTATAGTTTTTGATAATATTTTGAATTTTTGATATCTCAAACGGTTTGGCCGTGGCGAGGAAACGAATTTATGGCGAGAAAAGAGAAACACGAAGTGTTATAACTTCTGCATACATTAACTGATCTTGATGAAACTTCAGCAGTGTGTTCGTGGTAAGAGGCCGATCAGATGGATGTAACTATTGTGAGTAAAAGTTATAGCGCCACCAACTGGCAGCAGGAAGTGTGTCACTTTCTAAATGTTTTTGACATGGTCAAAACCAAAAAGGTATGTATATTGTACTCTTCAAGCCGGACAGCTTTCTAATTTACAGTCATTAGCTACGACCAACATTTTGGTTTGAATGTGGATTTCAGATTCTGAGTTTTTAGCTACTCCTCCTAAGTAGTTTATTTTATTCACGCCAAACTTTTTCAACATGATGAAAATACATTAAAGATGCTAAATTGTGAACTGATATTGAATATCTCAAACGGTTTTGCAATGGAGAGGGATTAAATTAATGTCAAAAAAAGAATCAGGAAATGTCTCATATCTTTCTAAAATGTAATTCAAAATGTGTTCAAAATCAGCTAGGCCTATTGTATTTATATATAAATATATTAGGGATGTTACTATGGGAATATTTTCCCACCGGTTAATCAACGTGTGACACCGCTGGGGGCTTTAAAATCGCTAACTTGAAAGCGAAAGTAAAATACGGACGTCCGCACAAGACATTAATAATGGTGCAGAGTAGAGCGAGCTTTTACAATTAATTCCTATTAATTGAAAAAGGAATGAACTAAACAACGTTCACTCTGTTCAGCTCGTCCCTCACCGTGGGCGCGCACAGTTATGAATGCATGTGCAGCTGTGAGCATTTTAGTTTAATTTTAAAATTAGCGCCATTTCGGGGGACGTATTACTTGAATTTTTTTTACAAAAACACAATGTTGTGTTTTATTGCGAGTGTATACAAATATAAGTAAACAATTTGCAGTTTGAATGATGTCCTGTATGAACAAAATGACGGAGTCTGTTTTTATGTGTAACACTGTTCAATCGCACCCACACACACACACACACACACATTCCAGCACTGAATTCTTGACATCGCAAGCTTGTTCATTATAGCCTTAATAATATAATGATGGGGCATGAATTCTAATGAATTCCTATGTAATTGAAGCTGAATGGATTTAGATAAACCATTTCACTGCTGTGTGATTTGGCCTGCATTAAAAAGGAAAATAAATATCTTAAACCTTGTATTTTTTTAAGTAAAGGCATTTAACCAGTTTAATTGTAGTGCATTGACAATACTTTTATTTAATTAGTTTATTAATTCAATTAACTTGATCCATAAACTTGGTCTGAAAATTTGGTACATAAATCAAACACAATTGCATGTAATTAATAATATGAAACTAGGTACACATATAGATATTATCGGGCCGAACAACTTTCATGCAGTAAGTTTTAAGCCAGCCTAAAAGGAAGTCGGGTATTTTGGTCTAAATGTTGCTGAATATCATTAAATTTAAAGGATTTGTTGTGGAATATTTGAGTGTATCGTAAAATCAGAATAATTCTCGCGTTTTAGTGATTCCCTAATTATTTTTTTTATATATATTTTTTCATTGTTCTAATCAGGTCAGGCAAGTAAAATTCTCTGTCTTGCCCCTTTTAAATAATATATATATACTGTATATATATATATACACTATATATAGTTATAATATATATTTTTTTATTATATATATATATATATATATATATATATAGCTGCGAGCAGCGATAGAGGGCCCAAGCCAGTTACCTAAAGGCACCAACTTGGGCCCGTAATCGCTGCTAGCAGCTATATTTATATTTTTAATTAAAGTTTTATAAATATGTCTATAGTTTTAAATGTGTTTACGGTATATATGTTTTATTAATTTTCATTTTAGTTTAAGATTAGTTAGTTTTTTTTTTTTTAGTTTGTTAATTTTAGTACTTCAACTTAAACCAAACAAAAATGAGAAATGCTGCTTGGCAGCAAGCTGAAAAAAAGAAATATATATATATATATATATATTATTATTATTATTTTATTTCAGCTAATGTATTTTTCATAAGTAATAAATGTTTTATGGTTTTGGTGTTGATTTGAGATAACTATAATAACCATGGAATACAGATCTAATAATATTTGCACATTAGGTCAAGTGAAGTTAGTAAAGTAACTTTTTTATTTTATTTTTTATGTGTACATCAGGAAGGTCTCAGGGACAACCAGAGCTTGAGGATGAAATATGTGTGTGATTGTGCATGGTGCATTCATTTTAATAATGAATCTGAGATTGGCATTTAGTCCCTGTCTCAACACAGATCTGTTGATAAATAATATAGATAATGCTGCTGGTCCTTCTGGGTGTGTGCTGATCTTTTGTCGTCAGATTTAATGCTGCCATTTGTGCCCTACAGAACACAACTTTGATGGTAAAGGTTAGGGGATCCTCCCATGCCTTTCATCTACCTGTCATGTATATCTCATTATGAGGGGCACAAGACAGAATGATCATCCACATTTTCATATCTCAGAAGAAGAGTGAGAGAGAGCATTTTACCAGAGATCTGTTGGCCCCAGTGATTTAGACCTAATCAATAATTTAGAGGCACAGTAATACCGGATGGCACCAGCACCCCGTGAGTGTGCAGTATGCTCTTTCCTGGACTATCTGGTGATGTCATTCTTTGCTGACTTTCATTGATGGAAAAAAAAAATGAAAGAGGATGTTTTATAATTCACTTTGGGTTACAAACATACAATGGACACTGGACACTCCCACCACAAAGAAGAATGTTTGAGCACAATCACAGTATTTACAGCACAAGACCTCATACAGATGCCTACTCTCCATACATAAACTTAAAACACAAAGTACACAACACAAAGTAGCCTATGCAATTTAATAAGACTTATTTTCTTTGCATCCAATCTGTTGTTGAATTCACAGGATATTTGATTAGCTTTATTTCCTTACATCCATGAGAGATGTATGTTATGTATTAAGACATGATGTTACAATAGAAAAATAGCTTAGGCTACATATTCAACGTAACCCTCATGCTAAGCTAAACAAAAATACAATAAAATAAATTGGAGCTAAGAAGATTAAATAAAGTAACGTGTTTTCTTCTAACGATACATAAACGACAAAAGTCAATAGGCCTAATTTTAAAATGATAAATCCTACTTTTATATAATTTCGCAGTCTTGTATAAGCCATGCAGACGTTACACCTGTTCTTCCAATTTATCATCTAGCCTAACTAAACGCTTCTGAGAGGCATAAAGTTAAGTTTTAAATGACAAGGAAAACCCCTACCGTTTTCGTGTAGAGGAACTCTTGTACTCTTAAAAGAAGACGGTTGACAGAGTGTTGTGTGTTTGGCCAGCAGCCCCGGTCAGCAGCTCCCTTCTGTTCACGCGCACACACTGGGCATGTGTCATTTCTCCACAATAACTACACTAGCAGTCGTGATGATGGCTTCATGGCAGCAGGATGTGTTCTCTCTCTCTCTCTCTCTCTCTCTCTCTCTCTCTCTCTCTCTCTCTCTCTCTCTCTCTCTCTCTCTCTCTCTCTCTCTCTCTCTCTCTCTCTCTCTCTCTCTCTCTCTCTCGTCATTACTCAATTAATTTATATTTTGGTTTGTTTACCGAAGCGCCTGTTGAAGTGTTAATGGATTAATTAAATGCTGTTGTTTTAAATATCAAGTTTTAAATGGTTTATTACTGACAAGATCTATTGGGCAAAACAATAGTTTAATATTTTTGGTCCATTTTTGCTGTTTCATCTATTGTTTTGTGTTTGATAATTGTTTCATTATGTAGCCTAGGCTACTGCTGAAAAGCACATGTGACGTTTAACAGCAGGTTCTATTGTGACAACTTACCCCGTATAGAGGGACAACATACATTTAATGCATATGCTCAGATAATGATGCACAAATGCATATGAATAAGAAATTAAATACACAAAATTTAAAACATAAACAATTTCTATAAATAATTACTGGAGGAAAAAAGTGTGAAACCTGGCCCTGCCCCTGATCTTCCCTAAACTGTTTCTATTTTACACTCATGTATCCAGATTTACACTGAGAGAGATTTTGCACATATAGGCTAGTGCTATTACAGCAATCCCAGAGTCAGTTGAATTGATTTATTCGCATTGTGAATCAGAACCAGTGACTTGCATCAGAGTGCCACCCTCGGGCAATGGAAATGACCAATATATCACACTGTGCATCACATACTTTCAGCAAATATTACATGATACATATAATAAAATAGAATATACAAAATTATAGTGTTTTTCCAAACTATCATATCTGCACTTGGCCATAACTAGGCCTATACCAACTCTAATGAAATCAATATTAAGTCGTCTTAGAAATCTGACGGTGTGATAGTTGACCAGTAGATGGAGACAGGGGCCCATTATTCTCATATATTAACGTTTGAATTTGGACCATCCTCAAAACAATACATCATGGCTTTTTACACATTTTTTAAACATTGTCAGAACATTAATTAGAAGTTCTATGAATATATTGAATATATTTTTTTTGCAGTGCACCCTCCTCTCATCAATACACAACATTACTTGGAGAGACCAGCAATAGGTCACTGCAGAAGACTCACAGCTCTATCTCTCATCCCACTCTGGTGATCTTACAGTGGGCTGCACAAATCTCAGCCTGGATAAATGAACACTTCCAGATCAACATAGCCAAGCAATTCCTCACAGCATCACCATTCAGCTGGACTCATCAACAATAACACCATCCAGGTCAGTCATGAACTTTGGAGGACTGTTTGAGGCTGAACTTCACAGACCACATCAAACCTGGTCATGCAGATTTACGCTCTACAACATCAGAAAGTTCAGACACTCCACCCACTGATATTTTACATAATCATTGCAAACTACATTGTCTTGCACAATACAGAAATTACTGGATCTGGACCCTTCCAACTTATATATATTGCAGAGGATTCTGATAAATTAGAAATATAAAACAATTTAAGGTCAAATTGATCAAGGGTGACAGTAAAGACTTTTACATTGTTAGTTTTAAAAGTTTTCGATTTCAAATAGGCTTACTTTATATTCATCAAAGAATCTTGAAGAAAAAAGTATTAAGCAGCACGACCGTTTTCAACTTTGAAATGAAAGGTTTCTTGAGCACCACATCATCATAACACAACTGAAGTAATGATGCTGAAAATGTTGGAGTAAAAATCACAGGAGTAAATAACATTTAAAAAATATTTAAAATAGTAAAGTTATTTCAAATTGTAGTAATATTCTCACAATATTGTTTTTGTACTGCATTTTGATCAAATAAATGCAGCCATAAGACTTCTTTCAAAAACATAAAGAGACTAATTTTAATAAACCTACAACTCATCCCTTCATAATCCTGTTCACTTAGCAAATATTTTTTATGACAATATTCCTGTTATTATTCCAATATACTGTTTCCAAACAAAATCATTAGACACGCACATAACAAAAAAAAAAAAAAAGACTCAAATAGCTTTATAGGCATTCTTTAATTCCTCTTTTTTCTTGTTCACTCCATACCACTACTCATGAGGTTCTATAATCTGCCCAAACAATCAAAATACATACCAATATACAGAGTGGAGAAAAAGACATGATATTTACATAGAAAAAAAGATGTATTTGTGGAAAGTTTCCAATAAGGGGGAAAAAAGGGTAGATTGACATCATCCGACACACAATAACTTCATAATGTGTGCTAGTACCGTCAAATCTTATTTTTTCCATACAAACTTTTATAAACATTATAAAATATTAGATAGGGCAATATCTGATTACTAAAAAACATGTACCTAGTACAAAATAACAAAGAATATAATAAAGTCTGTAAAAATCTTTAAAATATTTGAAAACAGTGAAGCAGGCAAAAACAGGACAACTACAGATATTTTTGAGGCCAATAAATAAAACCAAAAATAGAAAATATTAATATAATAACAGTAATGAAAACTAATACATCGTAGAAATGGACTCAAATCCCAACTACCACAGGTATGATAAACCTTCATGAATTTAACTCCTCCCTGATAAGAACAACACTGTCCCCTCTAGCCTAGTCTGTATGAAGTAGTTTTCCACTTCACCACCAGAGGACGACATAACACCATTCACCACTGACTACGGTCAACAGCACTTGGGAGAATTCTCTTACACACAGTGAGCTATCTGTCAATAAATATCACCTTCATTGTGTAAGAAACAGCATTACACCTGTAACACTGACAAACAAACACTGCTTTTCCTTCAACAGTAAACCATGACGACAATAAAAAGGATGGGGAGCATTATGCTGCAGAATCATCACAAAAGAGTTTACACAAGAAAAGAATTGACATCTTTATTCACAGAAACATCCAGTGCATTTGGCAACCCTCAGCGGGTTTGTCACGCACACATCAATGGTCACTCACAGAGGTTAAAGCAATGCATTACTCTCATCTCATGTGCATAAAAAAAACTGACAAACACAATATCAAAAAATAGTGACAACATAAATCTATACTTAAATTAATGCTTCAGGTACAATAAAAATATACAGTACTGGAACCCAGTACACATAATGCTGGTTTATATCATCATGTTTTTTTCTTCTTTTCCCCAACCTGTTCCAATTGAGTTTGCCAACCAGCAGCATACTCACAGAGTCAACAGACAAGAACGACAGCATAGATCGGAATTGGTTTGTAGTCAAGGGACATACCAAACACATTTCTCCTTCAGCTCAAGCCACGTTTTAAAAAGGGGGGGAAAGGAGTACAAAAGTCTGCACAAAGACATCAAAAAGCCGGCAATATCCAGTATGAAAGACAGAAAGAGAAGGGCCTTGCAAAAAGATGCTCCTCTTTCCAACATAAAAATGCACCGTTCAGCAAAACATGGATTGTCATCTCCCTTGAAAAACAGGGATACATCTCACTTTTGGAAGGGGCAAAAGGGGGACACAGCTTGGCTTGTCAGAGGGTTCACTTGATTACGTCCTGTTCAACAAAGATGACCTGCAAGAAATGAAACAAAATATTCATTTAACGAGTCAAATACAATGATTCAAAATGATCCATCTCCAAAATGAAAAAGCAAAAATACATAACGTTCAATGTATTTTACTTAAAGTCACAGCTAAACGGAGCAGACTAAAGGACTGAAAAAGGTTAAAAAAATTTTTAAAAAAGAGGAAATGTATGCTTATTCACAATAAGATCAATAACATGCATTTCGAAAACCGATTTTAGATTTCATGCCGACTTTAATTCCTATTACACGTTGTATAAAACCTTGAGTTTATATTACGAGCCCCTCATATCCGTTTTAGTATAAGCAGACGACTGAATGGACACGCTGTACAATATCTGCCCTGTGTTCTGATCCAAGTCCAGCACCCTACACTTGATACATCAAGTATAAACTGGTTTCAGACTAGCAATAAAAGACAACTTTCCCCTTTGGACATTCTTCTTCTGTCTACACATCAGCTGGATTGTCTTTTCTCTCTGCTCTGCCCTGTTTCCTGTCGGGCTACTATCCTCACTCCGAGACATTGAGTGTGGTGGAGCACGAACTGCTGATACAGACAGAATCTGGTGCTGTGACAGATCCTGTCGCAGTGGAAAGAAAAAAAACCCAGCCCACCATTAGCCTCTGCAATCACTTTCTTCCCTCTCTCTCTCTCTCTCTCTCCCCATCCCTCTTGAGCAGTAAAGCTATCAGGAAACGTGACTAAGCAAGAGCCAAGAGGTCTCACCCTTTCCAAGCACATATGTGTGTGTATCTATCACTGTGTGATCTTTGGCAAGTGTTAATGCAACATGTTTTGTCAGTTGATTGTTTATATATTGATTGAAATGAACGTGAGATCAAAAACAGATAATGAGCTTCTTTATAAAAACAAATTTTAAAAAAGTGCACTAAATATAAGATTAAGGTTACACAATGTAATTCCCAAAACACAGTTTAGTTTGAGTGTAATGTTCCAGTAAGGCAAACTACGCCTTAAAAAAAATCATGTAAAAGTAATGCAAAATGAGCTTAATTGAAGGTTTATAAATTTTTTCCCACTAATTAATTTCCATGACCATTTGTTATTATTGGATGAAATTTTTGTTTTTAAATCCTTAAATCAGAAAAGAACAGACTCAAAAGACTTATAAATCAGATATTACTTGGATTGCAAGCATTGCACACAAACTACCAATATTGAACCAACTAGATGAATGGCATAGCTAGATTAAATTATATTTATTACCGAAATTTCCATGACTTTTAGGATTTTATTAATATTTAATTTGATTATTTTTCAAGACATGGACAACACAAATTTAAATTCCCTGATATTTCTCTGACAGTGGGAAGCCTGTTAATTCAATATTTTGATTAGCAACTCAA